TCATAAGCTTACTGGGAGCATCAGCTTACCGTCAAAGCGTCGGGAATGCCGGCAGGGAGTGCGTGCTGGCTCAGGGTGGGCAGAGAAGTGGGAGGTGGGCGCGCTGAAGCGGCTCCCGGCTGAGTAGGTGAAAGAAGTGCCCGTGAAGGCCGTGCGGCACTCTGGCCCTGCACGTGTGTGGCATACAGGGTACAAGTTGGCCAGGGTCATGACAGAGTCAGTCGGGCCTTCAAAGATGAGCCCTAGCCTCAAAGGCACCTGGCCTGGGTAATGCGCGGCAGGAGCGTCCCCATCTCAGGGTCACAAGGCCTTGCGGGCTTCCCCTGCAGTTCCCCAATATGTCCACACGAGGGCGCAATAACCCCACCAGTCGCCGCTTGGCTTCAGCTCAGTGCTGCTGCAGAGCCCGCTCCAGGCACTGCATTGCACAAGCTCACTGGCCAGTGCTGCAAAAGATACCCAGTGCACCGGGATGAGAAGTTTGACTGCCCAGGGACACAGGCTGAAGAGACTGGCAAGCGCCCACCACCCCTTCTACAGATTGATCTCTGGGCAAGTATGGCTCCTCCTGTGTTTTGGGTTTGCTCTTGCAGTTATTTGATGCTTGGAAGTGCCCTGAGTGCCCTGCGACGTTTGGCACGGACACCAGAGCCGAGAAGCTCCGGTTGAGCTTGCTTCCTGCCTTGCCCTGCAGATAGCGACCTGGTGCCCCCTCAGGCCTGCGCAGCCCATGCGAGACCTGCTGTGCCTTGCACCTGAAAGGGCCTTGCTGTGTTTCTTCCTTCCGCCAGGGCCTTGCTGCCTGCTCTTGCCCTTATCCCTGGTCAAATTCTGTCTGCTCAGATGCTTCCAGCCCTGTCTCGGAAGGGCTCAAGGGCACAAACTAAAGCACAAGCTTGCTGGGAGCACAAGCTTGCCATCAAGCATCTGAAACGGCGGCAGGGAGTGCGTGCTTGCTCAGGGCGATCAGAAAAGCAGAAGGAGGGCGCGCTGAAGCGGAACCGGGCTGGGTAGGAGAAACAGGCCCCCGTGTTGTGCGTAAAAGCTGCCCGCAAGTTGGTTGTGCTCGATTGGCAGCCTGCAGTAAGCCCGAGGGAGCTCTAGAAAGGTTGAGGAAGGAGGCACACACAGTGAGGCACACAGGCCGGGCATGCGCATGGCGGATGGGATACACTCTTGGCAAGTGGCGCTCCAGAGTCAGCCGTTCCGCCAATGACGCCACCCTTGTCTCAAGGACGCCGGCCTGGGCAGTGCAGGGCAGGGGCGCCCCCAGTACGGGTCAAAAGGCCCAAATGGCTCCGCGTTGCAACTCCGAGGTTCGTCCACACGAGGGCGCCCTACCCCCATCAGTCGCCCGCGTGGTGCCAGCATAATGTTGCTCGAGGAGCGCCACTGCATTGCACAAGCTCACTGGCCAGTGCTGCAAAAGATGCCCAGGGCACCGGGATGAGAAGTTTGACTGCCCACGGACACGTGCTGAAGAACTTGGCAAGCACTCACCTCCCTTCTTCTCTAGAGCGATCTCAGTACAGGAAAGTCTCCTCCTGTGTTTTGAGTTTGCTCTGCAGTTCTTGGATGCCTGGCAGCATCCTGGGAACCCTGCGACGTCTGGGACGGACACCGGGGCCGTGAGGCTGCGGCTGAGTGTGCGTCCTGCCTTGCCCTGTGGGTAGCCACCGACCGGGTGCCCCGTCAGGTCTGTGCAGCCCATGGACGACATACTTTGCCTTGCACCTGAAAGGGCCTTGCTGTCTGTGTCTTCCTTCCGCCCTGGCCCTGCTGCCTGCTCTCGCCCTAGTCCCTGGTCAAACCCCGTCCGCCCAGATGCTTCCTGCCCTGTCTCAGAGGAGCACAAGGGCACAAACTTTGGCACAAGCTTGCTGGGAGCATCAGCTTACTGTCAAAGCGTTGGAAACACCGGCTGGAGTGCGTGCTGGCTCGGGGCGGGCAAAAAAGCGGCAGGTGGGCGCGCTGAAGAGGATAAGGGCTGGGCAGGCGAAAGAAGCACCCGTGGAGGCCATCCGGGCTGCCCGCAAGGATTGGTGCTTGGTTGGGCGCGTGCAGGAGGTGCGCAGGTACGATAGTGAGGACTAACGCACAGTGAGGCAGACGGGCCCTGCAAGCGCGTGGCAGATTGGGTACACTCTCGGCAAGGGCGCGCCAGGGCCAGCCGCGTCGGGAAAGACGCCACCCTAGTCTCAAGGGCACCTGGCATGGGCAGTGACTGGCAGGGGCGCCCCCAGCTCAGGGTCCCAACGCCGCGCGGGCTCCGTGCTCTATGGGGGCTAAAAAGATATAAGAAAATAAAAACAAATAAACAAAACCAAATAAATAAAAGATCACAACTACATGATGTTCCCAATAGTAAAATGCCTTATGCCCTGGCCGTGCATTTTAAATGGAGCCTACACAGACAAGATGCTTGTAGTGTCTAAGTAATGCGCTCATGACCATCAGAATAACATTAAAGGGTATGTCAAACCTCCCCCAGCTCAGGGCCTGTTGGTAAACACTGGCGATCCCAGGGGAAACAACTAGGTTGTAGAGGGGAGAACGGTGGTTGTCTCCCCCACATGCCTGGGGAGAGGAGTCTTGGGTCCCTGAGAGACTGGGAACAACATAGCTATTTCATTGAGCGGGTACCCCCATCTCCCTGAGTCAGAACCCTGCCGAGACTATCCCAGTCTACAGAATCCCTCTCCATGGAATCCAAGAGAGCTGTGCTGGCGTAAAGACATAGCAAACCAAAACTCAGTGAAAACCCAATTTTATTTTAATAGCTGAAACAATGAATTCATTTGTTATTCTGAACCACTTTTTTTGTATTTTACAAAATTATGGGCAGACATGTTTGTTACATGGTTTTTTGGTAAGGGCCAATTCCACCCTGGTTTATTTCTTGTCAGCATCCACAGCCACTTTGAGAGGTCTAAATCATTGTTGCACCTCCCCAGCTGCCTCCCCACTAAAAAGCTCATCACATTTTTGGGTGCCTGGGTGGGTTTTAAGTACTCTTCTGCCTTTCTGTTGACGCGCACTGTGGGTACGCTGGGACTGAAGTCCGGGTGTCCTTTATCCATGTCTAGTCGACACTGCAGACGGCTTTAGGAAAAAAGCACAAGCAGGAGGGCCTGAAAAGGATGATGAAGCCAGTTAGTCCGGTGGATCGGGGCCTCTCTCCCTGCCACCTCCCTACCACACACACTTATTTCAGCACAGTCCTGAGACATTATTTTGA